AAGTACAACAACAAGTTTTTATTATTTTTCAATGTAATCTCCCTTAACCTCAATGCACTTTTCTTACAACGTTTAATTAACAATTCAATCCCTTTAAAAAAATATTCTTTCGGTTTATCCTCAAAATGGGCCAAAACAGCTTCTTGTAACTCAAAATCGTCCCGAAAACGTCGCCCGCGAAGGCCCTTTTTCAAATAACTAAACAAATAATAATCGCTGGGAGCCATATCTGGACTATAAGGAGGGTGATCTATATTTTGAAACCCGCAATCTAGGATGGCAGCTTGTGTAACACCAGCAGTATGAACGGGCGCATTGTCGTGCAACAACCGCACGCCTCTGGTTAATTTTCCTCGACGTTTTTCCCGAATACATTCCCGCAACTTATGAAGTAATGCGGCATAATATGTGCCATTAACGGTGGTATTTGTCTCTTTAAAATCAATCAGAAGGATTCTTTCACAATCCCAAAAGATCGTAGCCATCACCTTTTCCGTTGATTGGCAGACTCTAAATTTTCGTGGGGGCGCTTCACCCTTAAGGTGCGATTTCGGTGACGCGGTTGGCTGCGGCGGCTAGCAGCTGCGACTCCAGCTGCTGCACTGGTTTGTACAGTTTCAAATGGAACCAATTTGGCTTGCGCAGCACGACTAAAGCGGCGGCAGTCCGCGCTGCAGCGGCTGCTGTTCGACTGCTCGCGAAGCAGTCGAGCGGCTGAAATCGTAGAGACTAGGGCAAAAAATGGCGCCATTTACGTCAAATGACGATGAAATTTTAATCAACGAAATACAAAAATATCCCGTAATTTATGATTATGATTATGAAGACAAAAATTACAAAAATTTTGTTATTAAAGAAAATTGTTGGAAAAAGGTCGCTAAAGAATTAAAAAAAGAAGGTTAGTATCACATTGTAAACAAATTTATGCTATTTTAATGGTTAAATCAAAATATGCGAAATGACGTAAATTTTAATAGCGTAGTTATAGTTGTTAGCTAATTTTTCTACCACATACCTACCGGAATAACTACCCTTCCTCTCATATAAACTAAAATCCGGTAAAAACTGGCTGTCATCTGCCAGAAAACTGGCGGGAACGCTCCGAATTGTCTGCAAACTATCATCATCTTTTATATGCGTTTAGGAATTTCACTAGAGCTTGTTTACCAGCGATTATTTTACAAGAGCTATTTAACAGCGAATATTTTTTTCGGTTCCTACGTCATACCTATATATTTTTATATTTTGAGTTTCTAATCTTTGTTATGGACTTATTTATTCGAGAAATAATCTAGCTATAAAAAAACAAGAATTGAAATAAGTACCTATATATATATATATATATATATATATATATATATATATATATATATCCTTAGCAGTATTTTGCGTCCGATAACATGCACAGTACGTTACATTTTGCTTCCATGACTATTTTACGTCCGAATATCGGACGCAAAATAGTTTTTGGCTTTTCCCGCCTTATAAAAGCATGAAACACAACCAATTTTACAGCGTTACGTTTGTTTTGTGAAAAGGTATCTGTAGGCACCTCTTATTTGCATCTAACCAATATGAGATGGCAGTAATAATTAATTGAGTGGACGCAATTTAGTGTCAAATATGAAAGAAAATATACAAATTTTAGTTTGTGATATTACCATTAGAGGCGCTAAATAATATACATAATGTATATTCTCCTTTCACTTTGCTTACTATTTTGACTCCAACTAACGGCAACACTGTAGCTTATTATTAGGTGCGATGAGAATTTACTGTTAAGAGAGTTTAGTGTGTGGATGTTTGGAGCGGGTGACACGTGAAGCGTTGGGATTCCCATATTCTATTAAAATCATGAGTTACCCATTTTTTCAAGATTCTGTAAGTATAATTTTTTAATTTGCTGTTGGATGGTTAAATAACCTATTTCGTAATATAAATTAAATCAAAGGGTCCGCGAATAGCCCTAGTAACTACGTAATATATTGTCGTTTTTAAGAATTGTTACATTTAAGTACAAACTGCTTAACAAAATAGGTAGAAATCAGCGCTTTCTACATTATGAAGTTAACTATTTTTCCAGACCGGTATTACATTTTTTGAAACCAAGAAAAAACAGAAATGGTTTTGCAACAGTCCATTATCGCCAGTTTATGTTAAAAAAAAAATAGAAGATCATGAAGAAAATCAAAAACAAAGTGTGGTATGTATTATTATTTATTATCATTATTGTAAAAACGTTATTATTATTGTGATTGAGATTATGAGTATGATTGTGATTATGATTGTAATTATGATTGTGATTATTATTGTGATTATAATTGTGATTATGATTGTGTTTGTGATTATGATTGTGATTATGATTATGATTGTGATAATGATTGTGATTAGGAATATGATTGTGATTATGATTATGATTGTGATTGTGATTATGATTGTGATTGTGATCGTGATTATGATTTCGATTGTGATTGTGATTATGATTTCGATTGTGATTATGATTGTGATAATGATTGTGATTATGATTATGATTGTGATTATGATTGTGATTATGATTGTGATTGTGATTATGATTATGATTGTGATTATGATTATGATTGTGATTATGATTGTGATTATGATTGTGATTATGATTGTGATTATGATTGTGATTATGATTGTGATTATGATTGTGATTATGATTGTGATTATGATTGTGATTATGATTGTGATTATGATTGTGATTATGATTGTGATTATGATTATGATTGTGATTATGATTGTGATTATGATTGTGATTATGATTGTGAATATGATTGTGATTATGATTGTGATTATGATTGTGATTATGATTGTGATTATGATTGTAATTATGATTGTGATTATTTTTGTGATTATAATTGTGATTATGATTGTGTTTGTGATTGTGATTATGATTATGATTGTGATTATGATTATGATTATGATTGTGATTATGATTGTGATTATGATTGTGATTATGATTGTGATTATGATTGTGATTATGATTGTGATTATGATTGTGATTATGATTGTGATTATGATTGTGATTATGATTGTGATTATGATTGTGATTATGATTGTGATTATGATTGTGATTATGATTGTGATTATGATTGTGATTATGATTGTGATTATGATTGTGATTATGATTGTGATTGTGATTATGATTGTGATTATGATTGTGATTATGATTGTGATTATGATTGTGATTATGATTGTGATTATGATTGTGATTATGATTGTGATTATGATTGTGATTATGATTGTGTTTGTGTTTGTGATTATGATTATGATTATGATTATGATTGTGATAATGATTGTGATTAGGAATATGATTGTGATTATGATTATGATTGTGATTATGATTGTGATTATGATTGTGAATATGATTGTGATTATGATTGTGATTATGATTGTGATTATGATTGTAATTATGATTGTGATTATTTTTGTGATTATAATTGTGATTATGATTGTGTTTGTGATTGTGATTATGATTATGATTGTGATTATGATTATGATTATGATTATGATTGTGATTATGATTGTGATTATGATTGTGATTATGATTGTGATTGTGATTATGATTGTGATTATGATTGTGATTATGATTGTGATTATGATTGTGATTATGATTGTGATTATGATTGTGATTATGATTGTGATTATGATTATGATTGTGATTATGATTGTGATTATGATTGTGATTATGATTGTGATTATGATTGTGATTATGATTGTGATTATGATTGTGATTATGATTGTGATTATGATTGTGATTATGATTGTGATTATGATTGTGATTATGATTGTGATTATGATTGTGATTATGATTGTGATTATGATTGTGATTATGATTGTGATTATGATTGTGATTTTGATTGTGATTATGATTGTAATTATGATTGTGATTATGATTGTGATTATGATTGTGATTATGATTGTGATTATAATTGTGATTATGATTGTGAATGATTGTGAATATGATTGTGATTATGATTGTGGTTATAATTGTAATAATGATTGTAATTTTTATTATAATTATGATTGTGATTTTAATTATAATTATGGTTTTGATTATAATTATGATTATGGATATGATTATGAATATATTAGTGTTGTGATTATAATTATGACTATGGTTGTGATTATAATTGTGATTACAATTTTGATTATAATTGAAGGGCATATTGGAATATCGTAATAAGTCACAACAATATTTATTAAAGAAACACGCCTTTATAGATTAAAATAAACTTCTATGACTACTACATCTTTGTTAAAATGCAATCACTCGAAGTTTGGCTTATCATGTTTTTACAATAAGCCCTTTAATTGTATATACAATTTTGATTTTGATTAGGAATAAAATTTTGATTATGATTTTTGTTATCAATTATTTTCATTGTCATGATCATCATCAGAATGACTAAAAATATTGGTAATAATATTTATTTATTCACAGATTTCAATTTTACATAAATATAATGAGTAAATATTATACAGAAATTTTTTTATTTAATAACAGTTATGAATAATAATATTATAACTATTTTGTCATGTCCAGAGCTCTCCAGAAATAGATAGCGACGCTGATCCAGAATATATTCCTGATTCAGAGGAAAGCAGTGACTACGACATCTTAACTAATAAAGTAGGTATACTGATTTAATAGAAAAACCAGAAATAAATTAAAACACTAAATTTTAGGTTCAGATTTTGCATAACACAACAGTTCGTTCAGAAACATCTTCCGCGGATAGAATAGAAAAGCCTCAAAAACCTCAGCCGTTCAAGGTAATATTTTATTATCAAATGATAAAAATAATTATAAATTTTATGACCTAATTTTTTTAAGGTTTAACTTGCGATTGTGATTATGATTGTAAATATGTTTGTGAGTAGTATTGTGAGTGGGATTGTGATTATGATTGTGATTAGGATTTAAATTATAATTATGATTTTAATTATGCTTTTGATACATGTTTTTAATTGTTATTATGATTGTGATTGAGATTGTAAATATGATTGAGATTATGATTATGATGGTGAATATGATTGTAATTATGATTATGAATGTTATAAGTATTATTGATAATATTAATAAAGCAGTGATTACAAAAATACTTATTTATTAACTATTATTATTATTAATATAATTATTTTTTTACCTACAGAGCTCTCCAGAAGTATATAGCGTTGCTGATTCAGACTGTATTCCTGATTCAGAGGATTGCAGTAAAATCGACATCTCAAATAATAAAGTGGGTATATTGATTTAATATAAAATCAGAAAAATATTTAAACTTAAAATTTTAGGTCCAGATTTTGCATAACATAATAATTCGTCCAGGAACATCTTCTGCAGATGAAATAGGAAAGCCTCAAAAATCTCAGCTGTTCAAAGTAATATTTAATTATGAAATAATATAAATAATTATTAATTTTACAATTTTTTTTTTAGGTTGAAGTTGCAAATTTAAATACTCAACCAGGACCGTCTTCTTTTGAGCCTGGGCCATCTTGTAATACAGATAGCGAATTAACTCTTAATATCCAAACAGAAAAAGAAAATATAGATCCAGATTATAATGAAGGTTATGAATTAGTTTGCACTAAAAATAGAACGATTCGAGATAATACAAGAGAAAATACATATAAAAGAAAGAAAGACATGTGTTATTTTTGCGAAACAGATGTGCTTAATTTTGCAAGACATATCAAGAGAAATCATTTTTGTGAATTGGAAGTGCAACAAATATTTTCCAATGGTAAAAAAACTAAAGAGCGACGAGAATTATTGGCAGTATTAAAAAAGAAAGGTAATTTCCTCAAAAACTCTACTGAATGTGTGAAACCCGTTAAACAAGCTCTTCAATTAGACAAAACATTTCTACCATGTCCCGAGTGTCTTGGATTTTATAGATCCAAATTTTTATACAGACACAGAAAAAAATGTTGCAAAGAAAAATCTTCAAAAACTGCTCAAGCTGACTCACAAACTTTTACTCTGAAAAATTTGCGAATTGATCAGTACTTAAAAGATGTAGTTTTTCCTAAAATGCGAGCAGACAAAATTTCACTAGAAGCCAAAAATGATTTTTTAATTTGTGCCTTTGGTGCCAGGTATCTTAAATTACATCGCGAAAAACATTTTATTAATGTTACAAGTAGGAAAATGAGGGAATTATCTAGAATTTTATTAGAATTGAAAAAAATAGAACCATCAATAAATAATTTGTTCCAAGGTCTACAACCAAAATATTATGACAAATTTGTCGAGGTTACAAAATTGGTGGCAAAATATGATAAAGATAAAGATCTGTATATGTCACCCACATTTGCAATAAATATATGTACATCATTAAAGCAATGTTGTGATATTGCTATTCATATGATAGTAAAACAAGAATCGTCTGTTGAACAAGCAAATGTTGAAGCAAACCTAAAAACAATGATTAATCTACTACAATCGAACTGGCGGTTTGATATATCGAGTCAAGCAGCCAACGATTTAAATATAAATAGATATAATAAAATAACAATAGTGCCATTGGCTAGTGACCTAAAATTACTAAAAGAATACTTAATTTCGGAAGCAGAAAATGCTTTAAAAGAACTAAAAGAAAATTCTTTAAATATAAGTGCTTTCAACATTCTTCTAGAAACAATCTATTGCCGAGTTATATTGTTGAACAGGCGACGACCTGGCGAGTTACAAAGAATGCTGTTACACACCTATGAAAATTCAGAAAAGAAAAGTGAGAGCTATGAAGAATTTAGTGAAGTGGTATCTGAAACAGAAAAAATATTACTTAAAAAGTTGAAAAGGGTAGTCATTAGAGGCAAGAGAGGACGTGGAGTACCGGTCATGTTTAGTTCTGATACACAGAACCACATTACAGAGCTACTCAATGTTAGACCAAATTTTTTAGGAAAAGAAAATCCGTATTTGTTTGGAAAACCAGGTTTGACAACACCAATACACGGCTACAAAATTATTGCAAAATATGCAAAGGCTTGTGGTGCTAAGAACCCAGATGCCATAACTTGCACGAAGTTGAGGAAGCATCTAGCAACTTTGACTCAGTTGTTCAATCTAACCGAAAATGAAATTGAACAACTTTCTACTTTTATGGGACATACTTCTGCGGTTCATAGAAACTCATATAGACTACCTGATGATCTTTATCAGACAGCAAAAATATCAAAATTATTATTGTTAATGGAAAAGGGACAGGCAGGAGAATATAAAGGAAAATCTTTAGACGACATTCCGATAGATATGGACGAAAATCTTTTACTTTGCCACGATAATGAGAGAGATAATGATGGAGATTCTGAAAATGAAGAACAAGACGTTATACCAGAAAATGAGACAGAAGAGCAAAATTTGGTACATAAAAAATTGGATTCACCAAAAAAACATAAACCAGTGCCAAAAAAACATAAACAAAAACGAATTTTAGTTCCATGGACAACAAGACAAAAAAAAGTGGTTACCACTTATTTTAAAAATAATATTAAAAATAGGAAGCCTCCCATACGACAAGAATGTGACGAGTTAAAATCTCAATACCCTGAGTTGTTAAGCAATAAAGACTGGCTCAAAATTAAAGTTTTCGTGCAAAACTTGTATACAAAAAAGAAAAATTAATTTTTAATTATTATTTATGTATAACAACCTATTTTTGTTTAGAAAGTTAAATAAATAATTTTTGTAGATTTAGTGACTTTTTTACCTAAAATAAGAGTTAAATAATTTTTAGTGGAAAACACACTAAATAATTTAAAGATTTTTTAGGCGACTGTAAAATCACAATTGACCAATTTATTAACATCCTTAAAAATTTAAAACAATTTTACCATTTAAGTCTCTTTTCAGAAACAAGAATGTAAAAAAAAATATTAAATCTGCTTGATGAGACAGTCAACTAAAAAATGTATGCACCTTGCCCGTATGTTTTTTGGTCTACGCAAAAGTTGCTTTGCCTCGGCCGCAAATTTTTGACTCGGTCAAAAAAGATCAACTTTACGGCCTTGGTACACCAATAACTATTATGTCAAACAAATAATTTTCAGAAAAAAATCTAAAGTTCGATTTTTAATTTGAATTTACTTGTTCCAACAGATTTTCAAAAGAAAATATGAAATATTTCGGACGTAAAATAATATATGGATGCAAAATAGATATCAATATGTTCTAAAAATAAAAAATGTGTATAATTTTTTTACATTACAGGTATAAGCGGTTTATAATAAATCATTACATTTTTATTAATACGTTTGATGTTCTTTTTGTAATTGAATGCTCTATATATTTTTTAAATTTTAACCCAATGAACTGATTCCAGAAAATACAGTACTTAAAGTTTAAATTTATACAGGGTAGTCGTAAAGCTGAACTGTTGAAATTTTGTCAATGGTAATTTAACTAGTTTAAAAAAACACAGATTTGACACTTCAAATTTTATTTACTCAAAAAAAAAAATATATATAATTTTTGATAGTATATTTTCTAACATTACTATTATTTGTTAACCCCACCACATAAACATTCATGATTAATTCAAAGTTGTTCCTGTTGGACACTTTCCGAATATTGTGACCTTAAATTAATATGACTATTGCCATATGTGGTATCGACATAAATTTTTGTCTAAAACAAAGCTTTCCTGGTTTTTAAAAAATATCGGCAACACTGTTGGACGTAAATTAATATGTTAAATGAAATAAAAATATTCTTTTGGACGTAAAATAGTAATATACGGATGCAAAATAGATATTAATATAAAAGGAGTCAAAATGGTCGAAAAATAAAAAAAAAACGTATATAATTTTTTAACGATATGGTCATAAAAAACATATTTTGAGACAATTAATTTTTAGTAGATTCAATATACTCGATGAAATCTATTCTAAACACACTGTTTCCAAAGACGCAAAATGTATGGGTTATGAAAGGACGCAATATTGCTGCGGGATGTATATATATATATATATATATATATATATATATATTATAAATTATTTTTAATTTATGGTCTATTTTTCTTTGGAAATCATTTTCTCTTGCCAGTCGACAATTCCCTCTCCGACGAAAAAGTTCATAAACTCGTCTCTGATGTTATCAAATCGTCGTAATCCATATTTTTAATAAACCCTGCAAAAATTTTAAATGACAAAAATGCTACAGTCCGCAGTCAACGGCTGCCTAGAACTGCGTCACCGAAAACATCTTTTCATCGCGGCTACAGCTGCCGCGGCCAGCGTCTCTAGTCGCGCAGCTCGAGCAGCACCACCGAAATCGCACCTTTACGGCGTCACTCCATTGATTCCCTTTTCGACAGAGGATCATAATAAAGAACCATAGTTTCATCTCCAGTGACTATTGTTTCCAGCACGGGGTTCGGATCATCTCCACACAGTTCCAAACACGATCGTGCACACTCGACACGACGTTGCTTCTGAATCGCCGAAAGGTGTTTGGGCACCCATCTTGCACTAACCTTATGCATACCCAAATGATCATGGAGTATTCGGCGAACAGTGGTATCAGAAAGCTTGGTCATTTCTGCCATTTCCTTGACCTTCAAACGTCGGTCACTTAGCACCAGGTTTTCCACAAGTGCCACTTTGTCCTCCGTTATCACCTCCACTGGCCGTCCAGTCTTTCGTCATCTTCAAGGGATTCCTGACCCATGCGAAAACGTTTTGCCCATTCCTTCACTACCGAATAGGAAGGGAAACTTTGGCCATATACGCTATCGAGTCTTCCTTTAATAATTTCAGGTGTCAGCCCTTCTTTTGTTAAAAATTTAATAACCGCTCTGTACTCAATTTTCGTCACCTGAGACATTTTCGGAGATACTTTAGTTCAAAATGCTGACAATTAAAAACTATTTGACGTAAGTCGCTTATTTTGTTACCACAGTCTACTAAGGTTTGTAGTTATAAAATGTTAAACTTTTATCCTGATAAAATATCTGCAACTATGTCAGGCCGGGAATTATTGGCGCTTACCTCGTACTTCTAACGTCTAACTATGGTTTGAAATGAAAGTGGTATAATTCCAATTCCAGTTAATGAAACTCTAATTTTTTCTGTTATATTATTAGCTATGTCTTGGTGTTATGTCTTTCAAGAAAATTACATATTTGTTTTATTATTATGACAGTATTTAAATAATGTTTAAGTATTTAAATACTTTTTATGTATTTAAGTACCTTTTCAGTATTTAAATACTTTTTGTAAGTATTTATCCCAAACAAGTATTTAAATACTGTAGGTATTTGTTATTTAAATACCATTTTCTTTAAAAAAGTATTGTAAGATTTAAATATTCGTATTTATGAAAATTTAGTATTTAAATACTTTTTAAAAGTATTTTGCCAGCTCTGTCCGTCTTTGAACTCACAGACATTTTTGATTAGATACTATAAAATTATAAAAAATAAAAATACGTAACTAAAAAAAAATATACATTATATTTAGTGATTAGGGATATATGTCCACAACTATGGGCCATTTACAGCGCTACTCGTTAAGAAATAAGCGAAGCCTTTAAATATCTTTTTCCTAATAACATTTTTATTTTATTAAATTTCTTAACAACACTCGGTATAAATGGCGCTGAATCAGAGACATCAATCAGATCTGAACTAATCAGAACAATGTTAACTAAAGCCAGTGGCGCAGCCAGCCATTTTTCATGGGAGGGGTTTTTGAGAACTATGGAGGGGTTTCATCAAGAAAGTGAATAAAAGCAAACAACAGCAATCAGCGCCAATACTACAGCAGAAATGGTGACGCGGAGACCCTCCATGGGGGTGTTCTGGTCCCCCAAACTCACTGACTACAGCCGTGTAAAAGGGCCACATTTTTTTATTTTTTTTTATTTATTTCTGAAATTCTGTCTTCGAATACAGAATTTCGTATTCAAACACAGAATTCCATATTCGAACACAGAATTCCGTATTCGAACACATAATTTCGTATTTGACAAATTCCTTGTTTGAACAAGGAATTTCCGTGTTTGAACAAGGAATTTCCGCGTTTGAACACGAAATACCGGTGTTCAAATAAAGAAGTTTGTAATTTCGTGGGGACTTGGGAAATTCGGAGAAGGCAAGGAAAATATGGATCCTCTGGAAATACTCAGTATTTGGTTCAAAATTCTCTACTCGAACGTTTTTATCTGAAATTAACTTTTAAGGTACTTTTTGAGAACGGGGAGTGGGGATAAAAAAATTACTGACACCGAAACGTTCGACCTTTGGTTCCCATATCGACGTACATAATTATTATTTGTCCTTCATTTACATTTAGAAGTGGATTTTGTTTTTTGGATGCGCATATTTTGGTATTAAGTAATTTTTCACCAGTTTTTTTAAAAGGCATCACTATTTTTTGTTAATGCCATTTAAAAGAGAGCAAAAAAGTTCTTAACCGGCCCCCACTATTTTTTGTTTGTTTTTAGAAATACTAACAAACTAATTGACTGAAACTATTTAGAAAACATCCCCTCACTTTACCCCTCTTTCATCTTTTGAACTAGGGAGGAAAGGAAAAATATTATGCAGGGACCAAAGAGGGCGAAGTAGTGCCAAAACTACTTACGACATCCCCTTTCCAAAAGTCGACAAAAATGAAAATCAAAATATTCAGAGATTCCTTATTTACTTGCCCTTCCCCAAGATCCTAAAGACATCCAAGAGTAAACTGTAAATATACCATTAAAATGTATAACTCGAAAATAGAATTCAGGTGTTCAAATACAAAATTCAGTGTTTAAATACGGAAGTCCGTGTTCAAACAAGGAATTCCCTATTCGACCACAAAATTTGAGAAAAAAAAATAAAAAGGTGACCCTTCTACGCTGCCGTAGTTAACGATAAAAATTATTGTAATTATTGTTTTATCAGTCATTTCTTTAATTGCCACGAAATTTTTATCTTTTTAAGAAATCATTAATGTGGGTCACAAATGGCCATCCGATATTCGAAATTAACAATATAAAAAGTAGGTAGGTACATGCCTGAAGTCTATATATTGTGAAAGTGGAAGTTAGCGCAACATCATCTTCGGTTTTTAAACAACTTTTTACTGACAAGAAGTAAAAGTGTTTAAAAAATGCGCCATGGGCATGAATATCGTTTGAATATATTAAAACGTTTTTGAATAACTAACAGCAGCAACGTCGGATGCCGTTGACCTTTTAATCTTGACCCACTGTATTCTGACAACGGCAGATCAACAATTAGACGAAGGTCGGGCGTTGCGATTTGAATGTCAAAAGAGTGCTTTCAATGACGTGCTCTTTATCGCTAAATATTAAAAAAAAAATCTTTCGACTTAAAAGCGAGGATAAACCAGATTATTTAACGCTGTAATACATCAACCAATGACAATCATCAGATGCCAATCAACACAAAATGTATCTGAAAACACTGCATGCTAAAGTGTTTTTACTCAATCCTGATTGGATTTAAAAAATTCATTTCAAAACCATAGTGACGCATCAATGATTTATGCGTATGAAGACTAGAGAGAAGGAGGTGAATCGGCAATGGTCAAATTTCCGTCCTTCTTTTTATAAAGTTCGCGAAATTGACTGAAGTTGGCATGTCTAATGACAGCGCAGTCATTTTCTATGTA